AAATATGGGTATTTAAAAAAGAAAAAAAAAAAAAAAACCAGGTGATCAGCTTCTATGACACTGGAGGCTGGGTAAGTCTCTTCTGCCATAAAAGCTTCTAGCTGCCATTCAGCAATTTTTGTTTTTCTGTACCCTGAGCTGCGCATGTGTAGCTCAGTGCGCAGACCCAGCGTGGCCGAGATTAGGTCACTACTGAGCACATGCACAACACAACCAATTAAGCAGCCGAAGACTTGAAAACCAAGAAGCAGATCAGGGCAAAGATGGAAGCACCTGCAAGGTGAGGGTGGAGCGCAGCGCTGGAGGGAATCGGTTTGGCAGGTAGGTTTGCCATAATGGGCTAATATGCTGTGCATTCTAGCGAATTATAGCTAAAAGTACCAGTGCCCTCCCTCCCCTTGTTTTTTTTAATATGTTTTACTACCACTGTAATAAATCCTTTTTACCTGCATTTCTGGCTTTTGTCTGTTCCACGGGTGAGATATCCTCACTGCGTTTCTCAATCTGATGCACCCTCTTTCAGGACTCACTATTCTTGCTGCAACAGCCAAAGCTTTAGTCCTCCTGTGGTATTCCGCACAGTATTAACTGAATTCTCTTATAGAGTAATCAGGAGTGGAATCAGTTCAGATATCTGTGCTAAACGAGGAAAGAAAATAAAACATTTTGGGAGGTGTGAATGAGTTTTGATGAGTTTTATTACTTGCCAGTTGCTACTGATCTTATGGGTCCCTGTAATACAAATGATTGTACAGAAAACAACAGAACAGTACAAGGCCTGGGATCCAGTCATTTGTTTTTGGCTGTTGCTGCATTTACAAGTATTATTACACTGCCGGTAAAGACTCCGAGGTGGGACAGGTTCTAAGCTAGTCATACACTATGTCATCTGTACAACATCTGTATAACTTTCTACAATTTCCATTCGATTTACTAAAACCATGCAATAGAAAGACAAAGCTAAATAATCCATTCAGTTTGTATCCGAGACAGGTTCTTCAACTACATTGCTGTTGGTATTTAACTCCTCAACGAGTGCCATAAATGAGAAAAAATTGACAGGGCTATTACAAAAGGGTGAAGAGTTTGGAGAAGGCAGGGGAAGTGAACAATCTAGGACAACATAGCTGAACTGGAAAGTGATCTGAATTGGAGAATTGTCCCAAATCAGCTATTTTGTCCTAGATTGTTCACTTCTCCTGCCTCCTCCAAACCCTTCACCCTTTTGTGAATAGCCCTGTGAGTATTAGCTAGTTGACCCAGTAATTGAAGTACTGATAATTTAAATAGGGTCTGTTCACCCCAGCACACCTTCTTCATTCACTTGCATTGTAGCACAGCGCAACATAGGGCAATGCATTTCTGTGCACTCCCGTGTGCTGACAGATATACTGCGTGCATCTTTTTTGGTGCCTTAGGCAGCCCATTCAAATGATTAGTCTCCCTTAACACAATCGGTGTTAACACAAGTGTGCTCATGCAGCAGTGCAATGTGAATGGGCCCTTTGCATAAAATAAAAATCATTAAATGTAAGCATTCGCAAAATCTACATTCGCAAAATGAAGATACATTATGTAGGGCTTTTTTACCGCCAACATTTCTGTCGCTTCTGTTTATTTAAAAACGTAAAAATGTATATTCCTTTTTGTGTGTTTGTTTGTGATTTTGTTTTTAATATTATTTTTAATGAAATAGATAGATAGATATATATATCTATCTAACACACACACACACAATACTGTATATATTTATTTGATTTTTCTTTAATTCAGATTTTCAGTGTACAATAATCCCGGGAAAACTGAAGCAGATTGATGCCGGCGCTGGTGAAGTATACGGAGTGAACGATGCAGATGACATTTACCATTGGGTAGACAATAACTGGAAACAAGTTCCTGGAAAGCTCATCCATGTTTCTGTTGGACCTGCTGGAGTTTGGGGTGTGAACAAAGCCAACACCATCTATAAGTTGCAGGACAATGAGTGGATGTCTGTATCAGGTAAAAAAAAATGATTTGACAAATGAACATATCTGATATATGAAAAGATATTTGGGTCATCGACATAGTACTAAGATATTCTGAGTCGCTTTAGACACTACTAGAAAGCGCACCCATTATTCTGACTCTGATTGGAAAATGAACTATATAATTCTCATTTAACATTAATGTAAATATTGACTGAGGCTGTGAATACAACTATTGTGGCAGCACACCCATCGATGCCTAAACATGGAAATGCATTGCATTTTGTTTTCTACTCTTCTATATTCCTGGGTCTGGTCAAAATCTGGAGTTGTACCTGTAGAGTTAAATTACATCTAAAGGCTCTTTTAGTCTAAACAAGTTCCAAATCCAGTTAGTACGAGATGCACAAGCCACAGTAGTCAAGCTAAGTAAACAATAAAAACTTCCTTTACCTTCCCTGACTGAGCCAAATCCTCCTCCATTTGTGTCTCACAAGCTCCCCCTCTGCGGCTTACAGTGGGAGAGTTTTAGCAACAGACGCTGTGTCAATCCACGCCAATCCAGAAAGCAGTGGGCCGGACCTGGTGCTGATTGACGAGCCATAGGCTTATGAATCGGCAGTGACAATAATGACAGCCACACCCCCAGCAACATTTTATCATTCCACTGTAGTGCAGGAGGGACAATGCTGCTATGAATTCAGGAGCAGTGCAGCATTGTTGCCACATCATCTCAGGAGGCTTCATTAGGTGGACTTCACTGGCAGGCTCAACAGGTCTTTGCAGGGGGAATAAGAGAAAACTCTAAGTTCAGATGCACTTAAAATTAAATGCTGCTGTACATATATTTTTTTAAGAAAAGGCCATAGTTCTACTTTAAGCTACAGCCCAGTCTGTTGGTGAAATCTGGTGCTACAAAAGCTGTTTAAAAGTCAATACTTGATATGCTAGACACTGTAACATAGATGCCAATAGTACTGGAATGATGGGAAGGACACTTTCCAGTAACAAGGAAAAATGGCTGCCTTGCTGGGCCAACAATGTACTGCCCCTGTTTGGCTGTAAATGTCATGAGACTTGAGGCAGCACAGCACATTATGCAAAAAAGGGGGACTGTTTTGCAAGAGGAAGGACATTTAGCCACCATGCTATAAGCAACAATGATATGTTACTCCATAGGAGGGTTCCAATTGAATATCATTATTATAATCTTTTCTTTGTTATTGCATTTAATTTAATGGGGCAATGTTTTGTTCTGTGCTTTTTCCACAGGGCTCTTGAAGCAGGTAGATGCTGGTGGTAATAAGTTCTTGAGTGGAGTGAACGCCCAGGACAACATCTACTGCTTGAAACAGAGTTGCACAATTTCAAAATCTTCTGCTGTATCCTTCACCCCACTTGAAGGATCACTGAAATATTACAGCTGTGGGCCAGTGGGCTGCTGGGGAGTGAACAGCGGCAACAACATCTACTTCCGCCACAATGTCAACCCAACTGCCTGCCAGGGAAACCAATGGCAGCAGATTGAAGGCAGTCTGGTGATGATAGAGGTTGGAACAGATGGTTCTGTGTATGGTGTCAACTCAGCCGGCAATGTTTACAGAAGGTATTTGTTTTAAACTATGTGTGCACTAACATTCATGTCTTTGGTACACTAAATCTTAAAAATACATTCAAGTACCTTAACGTTTAACAAAAATGTTTCTTATAAGCTTTCCATACTGACTAAATGGTAGATGTATAAAAACCATAGTGATTGGAGGTATCATTTATTGCCTATGTTGAGTGTTATGATCTCAGGTAAATAAAGGGAGCAAAAAGCCCCAGACCCGATGACACTGTTGGGAGGTTTCAGTGATTGCTGAATGATAAGTAGTAGATTTGTCTAATTGGCTTCTCCTCAACATTTACTATTAAAGTGACATTAAATCTTAAAAATGCATTCAAGTACCCTATCAACAAAAATGCATCTTATTTGTGTATCACTCGGCTGTAGATCCTCAAATCATCTCTAAATTGGTGCTGAAACTGTCCTTCCTTCTGGAGGGTGGCTACTTCTGTTCCCCCATGGTCCCTGTGTGTGTTGTAAAGTAGCTACCACTCCAAGCTCACCCCTATGATGGAATTTCAGGTTTAGTTTAATAAATTGGATTGAGATTGTATTCTATACCGGGAGTGAGCTTGGAGTGGTGGCTACTTTACAACACACAGGTACCATGGGGAACAAAAGTAGCCACCCTCCAGAAGGAAGGACAGTGTCAGCACCAATTCAGAGATGATTTGAGGATTTACAGCCGAGTGATACACAAATAAGATGCATTTTTGTTGATAGGGTACTTGAATGCATTTTTAAGATTTAATGTCACTTTAATAGTAAATGTTGAGGAGAAGCCAATTAGACAAATCTACTACTTATCATTCAGCAATCACTGAAACCTCCCAACAGTGTCATCGGGTCTGGGGCTTTTTGCTCCCTTTATTTATTTACCTGAGATCATAACACTCAACATAGGCAATAAATGATACCTCCAATCACTATGGTTTTTATACATCTACCATTTAGTCAGTATGGAAAGCTTATCGTAGTATTTATTTATTACAGGTATTCATATAGCGCCGACAATTTCTGCAGCACTTTACATAGTTGCACATTCACATCAGTCTCTACCCTCAAGGAGCTTACAATCCCTATATGTCCCTGTCTCACATGCATACATAGAGGGCCAACTTAGAGAGGAGCCAATTAACCTTCCAGCATGTCTTTGGAGTGTGGGAGGAAACCGGAGTACCCGGAAGAAACCCACAGAAGCAGAACATGCAAACTCCTTGCAGATAGTGACCTGGCCAGGAGTAATGCCAAAAGGCTTTTTCAGTTGCTATGTTGATTGATTTTCCATAAACTTTTTCTTACAAAAACACTTTAAAATGTTATATAACTAAGACATATTTGTATTTTTCTTTCAGGGAAGGAATCAGTTCCAAAACCCCAACCGGATCATCCTGGACCCAGCTGGACTTCTGCGCCACTTTCAAACACGTCACTTACGACAATGGCTATCTGTGGCTTATCAACCCAACTGGTGACATCTATCGTTGTGCAGACAACGTATAACTGATTTGGCCAGAACACAAGACCAAGAAGAGCGATCTATAGCATGATCTAAGCCTAGGTGAATGCACGGATGTCTCTCTCCATCTTTTTATCTCTGTCAGTTGGTGTTTGGCTATGCTTGTATTTCTGCAATGTTTTGCACTGCCACTAAAAGCATCTAATGTAACGTTTGTATCTTGTTTAAAAAATATCTCAGAACAAATAAAGCTTTCTTCTATATAATTGTGGTCATTGGTATTGTCAGAGAAATATTACTTATATACAATGAGTTTTGTATTGACAGCCCCAGAAACATTTACACAGATATACAAGAGAACTGTACCGACACCACTAGAAACATGTCCACCAGGACACAATTAGTACTCTACTGATAAGGCTAAGGCCTAGAGTGTGACTGGGGTGGGTGGCTGTCTGGCATATTTTAGGCCCTGTAAGCCTATTAGCCTACAACCAGCAAGATAAACATCGCCATTGCACTGTGTAAGAAGAAGAGCGGCAACCTGCTCCCATTCAGTGGGTCTAACTGAAGCCCCTCAGTCCCTCTCATCTTGGTTGCCCACTGACTGTTCTGAGAGAGTAGATATCTGTCTCTGAGAAGCATGAGACAGCTTCTGAATTGGGTTGGTTTGGGATCCCCTGTGGCCCCCAGGGGAAATTGATTTTGCTGCAGCAGCTTGTCAGTGCTCCAGTCTAAAGCTTTGCTCCAGTTCCTCATCCCCAAAAGTGGAGTTACTTTTAAAGGGCCAACAACCAGCCAGTTAGTAATAACTTCCAATTGGATATCAGTCAACTTTCTAAATGGTATGCTCACATTAGTCTGAACTAGATAAACAATTTTATCATCGCAACAGGAAAACATAGACTTGGTTTAGAGGAAAATAAATCTCCAGTCATCTTGTCATTCACCTGCTGCCTTTATTTTAGGAAGGATTGTGGCGTACAGGTTGAGTAGGTCTACCACAGCAGGGATACTGTTTGCTCCCCTGTGACAACACAACCGTAAAGTCACACATTTACTTTTTAACCCCAACCATTCAGCTAGTCACAGCAGGCTGTGCAGCATTCACGTATTTATCAATTGTTATGCTATACCCATTAATTATATATTCAGGTAGTTGCACTCTTCCTTGTACTGTTTTGATGAATGTGATTTACCGAGTTCCTCTCCCGGTTTTCGAAGAGTTTATGCACACCATCCCCCAACATACCAACGACTAAGAGAGTTGACCATACTACAGTGGAGCGCTTTCCATGCATTTTTGTTTTAGATTGAGTATACACCTAGAGGTTTTTTTGTGACAGCAGCACACTGATTGGATGGACACACCATGTCTTACACTCAGAAAGAAAGCATGTTTGAAAGCATTTTTCCCAACAATAAACCATACCCTGATATTTCAAAACTGCCCAGACTGACCAGATTTCCCCCTGTGACCAAATACATGGTCACCAACCTCCACCACACTCTCCCATATATGAACAAAATATGCGTAAAAACTTTCTAAAACTACAGACCCAAAATTAATCTGGAAAGCCAACATTGGTGGGATATACCCTTCCTTGAAAAATATTTAGAACTAGGTATCACCCCCGAGAGGACTTTGGATCCACAAAACATGTGATTTTTTGGAGCAGGGTCTGGCTTCTAACTGGGATCTTTTGGCGGAGTTCTGCACAAAAAAATGGATCAAACTCATTATCACACAGAGAAAACGCAAACTTAAACATAGTACTAGGACAATACAGGAATTATATACCACCATCAAAAACTCATTTGGAACATCTTGTTTGTAAAACTCCTGGATAGCGAACTTAGAACACAAGACCAATAGTCATGAACACAATATTATTAAGTCAAAATCTAAAAAACTTTGCAGAGATATTGCAGATTTTAATCTTAACATAGTTTTCAGTTGGAAACAGACGTCTCGACATGACTCCAAACACCAACCCAATCCAGTCCCCCTTTTAGCCATAAACCCAGTACCGTCCAGCAGAGTCGCCGAACTCGTATGGGATGAGGAGTCTCTCCAATTTAGATCTAGACTGGCTCAGAATATTGTGTATTAAACAAACATTAAGCAAAGAAAGCCGGTTGCCAAAAAGAGTCCTATTATCCCCCCTCTTTCTACCCACCTGGAGAGAACCAATATACCCACCCACGGACCATCCCCAGTAATGGTAGGGGAAATCACGGATGCAATAACCACAGCAACTCACATACAACTCTGTGACAACCCAATAGAAACCATAGATACAACCACAGCCACACATGATACTTCCACCATTGGCACGGTAGAAGATTTGTGCCCAGAACTTCCAAATATAACACACACTCAGCAACCAAACAGTTTAATGAATTCTTTTTTAGAGCAGGGTCCTCTAATGCCTCAAAAGAAAAAAACGAGAAGAGGGATTAGAGGAGGAAAAAACAGCCAAAATGCCAAAAAAAGAAAAGTAATTACAAAGAAGTCCACAATAAAAATTTTCAATCTATCTAAACACTGCCTCACTCCGGGTGAAATATCATTACTGAACAAAGGTTTGAACTTTGCTCCTGATACAAAACCTGACCCGTTCACTCTTTTCAAGGATTTAAATAGATTCATTAGGCTTTTGACCCTCCGGAGACATTACTCCAACTCCACCATTAACACCTTAGTCGCAGATGCCCCCTCTAATATCCCCCATGATATCGAGGTAGCATTGGACACTCTTGAATCTCATGATGGAGATATTTTACAAACACTCTACGAACTAGCCGACCAAAACTCCACCTTAGACCTGGATCTTGAATCCTTTCTAAATCCCGAAATAACACATACCAGTTTTAGACCTAAATCCACTTTTTTTCCGACGCATTCCAAGGGACCTTTCATAGACACTTTTTACCATGTGGTCTATGCGGATCTGCTTGAAATATGTGAAAAAGCAAAACACCACCATAATCTCACCCCCCTTGAAAACAAAGCGCTTAAACTGACAGTCTGACAAGTGGCCTTTCCAAATATATTGACCATTTTCTGCAACCAATAGTAACATCACTTCCATCCTACATTAAAGATTCTGGACATCTGATTAACATCCTATCTACGTACACATGGGACCCCAATTACAGCTGGGTCTCTCTGGACGTAAGTTCCCTTTATACATCCATTCCGCACCGAGTGGGCCTCAGTGCCCTGCAACACTTTCTGGGACAAACATCAATTAATTATAATCAAGCTCAGTTTCTGGTAAATTGCACTGAATTTACTTTGACCCATAACTACTTCTCTTTTCTCGGGAAGCTCTATCTCCAGACCCAAGGGACAGCAATTGGGGCCAATTATGCCCCAAGCTATGCAAACCTGACCATGGGTCACTGGGAGGCACTATACATCTGGGCACGCAACCCCTTTGCCAAGAGGCTCATTTACTATGGTAGATACATCGATGACATAGTAATCATCTGGGAAGGCCCTCCTGAAAGTGTTTCAGATTTCGTGACATATTGCAACGACAACAGTTTCGGTCTGTCTTTTACGCATGAGGTCAGCAACACTAGACTAGTGTTCCTCGATCTCGAGCTGTACTTCATAGACCGAAAAATAGTCACCAGCAATCACATAAAACCGACAGGGGGGAACTCATACTTACACTACAAGAGTTGCCATCACCCCCGATGGAAAATGAATATACCGAAAAGCCAATTTTGCAGGCTAAAAAGGAACTGCACACAGGATGGTGACTATGTCACCTCTAGTCACCTTCTTCTGGATAAATTCAGGGATAAGGAGTACACGGAGGAACTTATCACCGAGGCATTTCACAATTACTCCAATCATAAACCAATGGAGGAAGGAAAAAAGGACTTCAGTATAGATAACTATAGTAATAAAGATATTAGATTTATCACCACTTTCAGCAATAGTTTTAAAGCAATTCAAAAAGTGGTTAATAATCATTGGCATATTCTACAGAATGACCCTAGACTGGGTTCCAAATTACCTCCCAAGCCATTGATCAATTTTAGGAGAACGAGAAATGTAAAAAATAGGGTGGGACCAAGTAGGTCTTTTCTAGCACCCGAATGTACACCAAAACATTTCCTCTTTGACAATCGGGTTGGCATCTTCCAATGCAGAAAGCCCAGATGCCTTACTTGTCAGTTTATACATCATGGACAATCGCAGTTTACCGACAATCTTAACAAGGTTCATACGATTAGGCAGTTCATCACATGCTCCCATGACCATGTAATCTACGGGCTTATCTGCCCTTGTGGTTTGATGTATATTGGTCGCACTATTCGCCCATTACGGGCCAGGATTGGAGACCATACACATACCAGTTTTAGACCTAAATCCACTTTTTTTCCGACGCATTCCAAGGGACCTTTCATAGACACTTTTTACCATGTGGTCTATGCGGATCTGCTTGAAATATGTGAAAAAGCAAAACACCACCATAATCTCACCCCCCTTGAAAACAAAGCGCTTAAACTGACAGTCTGACAAGTGGCCTTTCCAAATATATTGACCATTTTCTGCAACCAATAGTAACATCACTTCCATCCTACATTAAAGATTCTGGACATCTGATTAACATCCTATCTACGTACACATGGGACCCCAATTACAGCTGGGTCTCTCTGGACATAAGTTCCCTTTATACATCCATTCCGCACCGAGTGGGCCTCAGTGCCCTGCAACACTTTCTGGGACAAACATCAATTAATTATAATCAAGCTCAGTTTCTGGTAAATTGCACTGAATTTACTTTGACCCATAACTACTTCTCTTTTCTCGGGAAGCTCTATCTCCAGACCCAAGGGACAGCAATTGGGGCCAATTATGCCCCAAGCTATGCAAACCTGACCATGGGTCACTGGGAGGCACTATACATCTGGGCACGCAACCCCTTTGCCAAGAGGCTCATTTACTATGGTAGATACATCGATGACATAGTAATCATCTGGGAAGGCCCTCCTGAAAGTGTTTCAGATTTCGTGACATATTGCAACGACAACAGTTTCGGTCTGTCTTTTACGCATGAGGTC